TTTCCATCATTATCATCTACTATCAAGTTCAAATCTTCATAAAGAATAATGAATTAAAAGATATATGTATATTTGTATACATACATACACATACATATACATATATACAATAACAAATAATAATAAATTTTACTTTTACTTTTAACTTGAAAAGAAAATACATGTGGATCATCTCCTGCAGCTGGACCAGTACTCAACAACAAGCTTTAAGAAATAAGAATCCGACTCCATTAGCTTAGAGGGTGCATCATATTCCATCATTTCACCTATTATACATGAAATTTAACTATTTTGTAGAGGGTAATTGTGTCATTTTATGAGATATATGGGTTTCTGAAAAATAAGATACATACCAGAGGAGAGGACCATGACCATGTCACTGTCTATAACAGTTGGAATCCTATGAGAAACTGTTCCAAGTAAAATGGTTGTATTAGTGGGAGCAAAACTGAAAAAATCAGTTATACTCAGGGACCAAAAGCAAGTAATCATTGAATTCCATCCCTGATTCAATCATATTGAAGACCACCTTAGCTTTGTACAGGTAGGTATAGTTTAAGAAGGACACTAACAAGGTCCATGTGGAGGCTTTGACAAAGCAAAAGAAGCATGCGAGCCCCCATCTCTTTTCTTTTCATTTGATAAGATATGTGATTCGTCATGGCCCTCTGATGTTGCTGCTTCCAGTTGTTTATCTTTTAAAATTCCCAGTTCCACATCAAACATTGCATCCATTGGTGGCATTCCTGCTCCATTAATCCCTCACAAGTCACAATCATTACTATACAAGAAAATAGTATATTTTTTTAAGATTCTTACTCTTACCCGATGTTGGTTTTCTTATGGAGGGTAAGCTGTACATGAGATGAGAACCTAGGTAAACAATTATATACACATGCTAAAAGATAACTTACAACAAAAAAACCACTAGCTCCATTCCCAACATCCATAACTATATGAAATCCCTCCAATGGCTTTTCTGTAATCCACAACAAGTAAGAGAATACGCATGAGAGAAAGAAAAAAAAAAGTAATCTTCACATATACCTATGTTTCATGAAGCTTTGCGAACTGCTGTTACAAGGTTCGAAGCGTAAATAGCCATGTAGTCAGTTTTAGTGATGGAAGATGAAACTTTTCTTTCTGCCTCTTCTAGAGATTTTGGAGTAAATCCAATGTATATGTTTGCAACACACTCCAAATTGTCTTTAATGTCGGGTTTTCCAAGGCCTCCTTCATTAGTAAAGAATTTGAAACCATTTTATATTATAAGGATGATCGCTTGCTGTTATCATGATAGCTCCATCAACTAGACATAGAAAGTTTTCATTTTTTGTCAGTGTACTATTGAACATTGTTGGAGTAGATGCTAATCTACAAAAACATAACTGAAAAAGAATTAAATAGATCATAACACCCAAAAAGAAAATAATCAAAATAAACGAAGACATGATTACAATTACATTACCCGTATTACACAACATCAAAGCCTACACCAGCAATTTATTGAGGAGCTGCATCCTGGAAAAAAAAAAACATTAGGTTAATGTATTATTTCATGCTGAAAAAGATGAGGTGTCAACAGGGAATTAATACTATCCATATTCTTATAATTGAAAATAGCCCTAAACAAAAGTAGCCATAAATATGAGACTTACCTCTGAGTATATATGTGAGGAGTCACCAGACACATGATGATTTTTGTATATGACAAAGGCATAATCAGCTCTAATATGTTCTTGAATCAAAATACCAATGCATAATGTATCATTATTCCTGTTTTTATATGCTCTTTCATTCCATTTAGAAGCCCAAACTTGAACAAAACGAGTAAGATAACAAATGTTAAACCATTCTAAATTTTTATGCAAATTTTCAATAGGATTGACCATAAAGTCAAACCACAACTACTTTTTGGGAAGAGGGGGAAAAGTATTAAATATACCTTCTTCATTGCTTGCAAGATTTGACTCCATGTATCCTCTGCGGAACCTTGAGGCAAAGGAAAACTTGAAAGATCGACTATGGTACAAAAGCATGTGTGTTTCAATTGGAGTCTCATGGTTGTAGAAGGCATCAAGGGTTTTGGCGGGTATACGGTAAAGAAGTTCATGGGGGAAGATCCGCAGAAGTGTCCATGCTAAATCAAGTGACTGGAAGATGTTTATAGTGTCGTATGCCCCTTGAGCCACAAATTTCCTCTCAAATTTGTCCAGAAACTCAAAATATAGATGTGTTCCATTTATACAGACAATTTGTTATATATATATATATATATATATATATATATATATATATATATATATATATATATATATATATATATATAATCACTGACTATATTATCTAAACGTGAATGTGTGTGTGTGTGAGAGACCAAATCCTCAGAAGAGAGAGCCTCTTCTCCAACCACTGCTTTCATCGCCTGGACATCTTTTCCAATGGCATAATTTGCATATAGCTGAATATACATAAAAGTAACATATGAAGACAAAACTTTGACCTTGCCTTCATCAATCGAGATAGGGATGAAATCACATTGATAGATGGGTAAATCTACAGATTTTCATCATACAAGTAATCTTAAAAAGCAAGTGAAGGAACAGAAAGTTAAGTTTAGAATCTGACCTGTCTAGTATGGATCTATCGGTCAATGTATATATGTCCCTCAGTAATGTAAACTGTAAGATCCAGGGTGGGATTTGTAATATCTAATGATGACCAAAAGTTTAAAGAAACTTGTGAGAAGTGAAAAACAAACAAAAGAAACAAGGCTAAAAAGGTCAAAATAATAAGGAATTGGGAATTAGGACCATCATTGCAACAGAAATAGCACAATTTAGTAATTGATCCACCCCACACACCTTTTCTCACCGAAATGTCAATAGAAATAGAAATTTTTTAAGTACTCTCTTCACCATTCTGCATAACTGTATCATCACCATCAAGTTGAACATCAAAATTACTAATAACATTTGGTTTTCTTTCCAGAATCGGAAACATGATATCAACTTTAACAGAAACGGTGGAAAGAGTGGTGTCGCTAGCATCTTGAGAACCAAAATCCGACGGAAAGAGATGAGCCGAGGTTAGAGGTGAGTTGAGGTAAATTCGGTAGTGGCGGAGGCAGATTAGGGTTTACAGAGAAAAGGAGGAGGATAGAGTGAAGGTTTTCGGTAGGTGGCATGCTTGCATTGATGGACGTCGACGATCAGGAATGGCAAGTAATGATGGTCGAAGTGCGAGGGAAGAAGTAGGCAGTAGTCAATGCCGGGAGGGAGAAGGATGGAGCGTCAATAATTAGGGCAAGAGGAAAAGGAAGAAAAAGGAAGGCGGGGTTTTTAATTTTTTAGGATTTCATTTTCCCCCCAGCTATTAAAGGATGGAACGTGCGTTTCAATTAAAATTTATAAATTGATATCTTCAGACGACACACATTTTATTATAGGTGCCCTCCATGTTTTTTTAGACACTAATTTAACGGGACGCAAAAATGTGCGTCCTAAATCCTTAAAATTTATGGAGAAATGGCATCATTTTTAGGTCTTACATTTTTGCATATCGTAAATTGATGCATATCATAAATTGCACGTCGTAAAAGGCTATTTTTCTAGTAGTGTTGAATGCTTTATGGTATGATGGGGGAACTAACTAAGCTTTGTGCTTATAGTTTTCATTTTTGGTTTCAGGTATCGCTTCATCGAAGGGGAAGGAGCCGACACGGTAGAAGCACATTGCACAAACATGATTTGGAATCTTGAGATCCATGGGATTGTACTCTGACATTATTACTATTGATGATATGATTTGTGATTATTTTTTTATGGATTGATATGATATCGGTGATGTTTTTAAGTAAACTGTTTTATAAGTAACATAATTAAAAACAAAATTTTGGGTCTCAAAAATTGGGATGTTACATATATATACGTGTGTAGATGGATATGTATATCTATATACACATACATTTCATATGAACATGCATTCAAATGTCATATGCCGATGTATATTTGTATGCCTATACATTTCATATCTAGATACATATGTTCATGCATATGCCTATGGATATATGCATAAGCATACATACATACATAAGTGCACATGGATGTGCATATGCGTATGCATCTTAATATGTATATGCATATGCATATACATATACATATGTTTATGCATAAACATTTCATATGTATGTGCATATTCATATAAAAACTATATGCAAATGCATAGGTTCATGTGTATGCATATGAACATGCATGTGTATATGCATATGTATCTTAAGTGCACATGGATGTGTATATGTAATATACATATACGTATACATATGTCCATGCATATATATTTCATAGGTATGTGAGTAAGCATATGCATCTTAAGATGTGAATTTATGAATGTCTATATGTATATGCATATATCTATACGCATATGCATGAACATATGCATCTACATATGACATGTGTATGCATGTTCATATGAAATAAACATATGCATCTACATATGTTCATATGAGATAAACATATGCATCTAAATATGTCTTATTTTGGGTTGTCACTACTTATAAAGGTGTTTCAACCTCGAGTTTGAATGTACCATATATGAAGTTAGGGATGTGCTTCGGGTCGGAACCGACCCGAACCCAAACAACCCGAAACCCGAATTGGATGAAAAGTGGGAACCGAAACCCGAACCTATTATACTAATACGGGACCGTTCTGGGTCGTGTAATACAGGTTTTGGTTCAGTTATTAAACTGAAAGGACCGAAATAACCCAAATAAACATTTACACTATGTTTTTGACCTGAATAACCTAAATTAACCGAAATAACCGAAATAACCCGAATAACCCAAATAAAAAAATATTGATTTCTAGTTCAAGAAAATAAATATTAAACATTGATAATTCATATTTCAAAAATCCATAATTCATAGTCCAAAGATCCATAATTCATGATTAAACATTAAACATTAAACACCTAAACTAAATTTGCAAAATAACAATGACCAATTACAAATTAACTATTCGGGAATATTGATTGGTTGTTTTCCATTTCCACCTCCATTGTTTATCATGTTTTCCAACTCTTTCGCGACGTCATCATCTTTCAAAACTTCAACAATGTTGTCTACAATTGGCTTCCTTGATTTCCTTACGCAATATTGGGTGCAAACCAAGGCCTCTAATATATTAGCAGACAAATTTGTTCGATATGGATCTAATATCCACCCACTTGTTCTAAAAGTTGCCTCGGATGCCACATTAGAAATTTTTAGTGCTAAAATATCTATCAACATAAGCAAAAAAAGTGTTAAAATATAATTATAAAAAAAGTATACAAATAAATTAAGTTATACATTTCGCCATACGAGCTAGAATAGGGTAAAGAGATGCATTTTGTTTCCACCAAAACATAATGTCAAAATCTTTCTTGTATTTAAGTGACCGCTCGTTTAGGTATCATGTCAACTGCGTTGCGGTAGATGTCGATGAGTAATTTGCTTGTACTATTAAATGACCCATGAATTCATTCTCGTCATCAAGCATCACCACATCTTCATGAGCACGTGTTTGACTTTGAGAAGACTCGGCATTGTTGAACTTTGCTTTTTAGAAATTAAAAAATTTCTCAACACTTTTTTCAATGTCTTGTATTAAGGCCTTGGCCTTCAAAGTGACTTCCGAGTTGAATATGGGAGGTTCTCCGATATTCTTCAACATAATCAACTTCTCAAAGGCTTGTTGAAGAAATTCAAACTTCAATTGTGGATCTAATACGATCACAAAGTACAAAAAGTCATTTAATTTTTCAAGGTCGCCCGAATACTTTTCATATTTCTCAATCATATCCTTCCCGTTCAAGCAAAATTGGGGAGTAGACACCAGTCTCTAATGTGATTGTATACATCGCATATTTCTGCAAAAAAACTATGTGTCATAGGTTTTGTTGATGTCGATATTATTTTGGTTTTTACCATGAATTTCTCGAGAAATCCAACCATAGCTCAACAAGTTTTGAAATCTTCTTCTACGGGGGACACAACATCTCGAACATATGTAGGATCTATTAAAATAAAATAAGTGTTAGTTAAAAAAACATAACTTCAAATACCCCATTTTTAAGGGTCTATATCTCATTGAATATACAACCAAAAATAGCACAAAAATAGTGTAAACCGAATATTAAATTATGATCTACATGCTGGAAAAAAAATTAGAAAAATTGGACAGATAATGAAGAAGATATGGTAGTTCAAAGTGGACATAAAAATCCGCAAACATGTTGAATCACAAAAAACAGTTTCGATACCCTATGTTTAAGGGCATATATCTCATTAAATATACAACCAAAAATAGCATAAAATAGTGTAAATTGAATGTTAAATTCTGATTTAATGCTGGAAAAAAAATTAGGCAAATTGGATAGATAATGAAGAAGATATGACAGTTCAAAGTTGACATAAAAATCTACAAACATGCTAATTTTTTTTATAAAACAAAAAACAATGGAATGGAATATGGAATTACCTTTAACTTAAAACTTTCCAAAAACCTTCTCCAACTCCACTGCAATCTTCAATAAATTGTATGTGGAGTTCCATCGGGTTGGGGAATCATTGCACAAAAACTTCTTGGATTCCACATTTAGCTCTTTCATGCATTCTTTGAACCTTTGAATTCGTTGAGTGAAATTCCTAAAATATATAAAGGCCTTTTGCATGCACTTAATAGTAGATTGGTGTTCATCAAACACATCCTTAACAACAAGGTTTAGGATGTAGGCCATACACTATACGTGTAATTGTTCCCCCCCCCTCCCATCGTATAAGTTTGGTAGTTTTCTCATTAGAAAATCAATTGCTTTATCATTTGAAGTAGCATTGTGTATGGTTATGGTCGTTACATTATTGATACCCCACGCTTCAAGAAAAGTCAACAACGTGCGCCCAATGTCTTCTCCCCTATAAAAATCTAAAAATTTAAAGTTGATAACTCTTTTGTGCATGACCCAATCTTTATCAATAAGGTGGGCCGTGACCACCATATAGCTCGATCGTTGACATGAACTTGTCCAACAATCGGTGGTCAAATTCACATTCGTTAGGGGATTACTAAAGAACTTATTCAACTTTGCCATTTCTTCAACATAGTAATCGACAACTCTTTTTGAAACTGTGGTTCTACATGGCAAAACCACTTTCCCGTTCAATGCATTAGTATACTCAATAAATGTTTCATTCTCTACAAACTTGAACGGTAATTCTCCAACTACAAATAAGTTTAACAAAGATTTTTTAATTCTTTTCTCATCATGCTTCCAAGTGCCAATACTATTCTCCCCGGTTTTATTTATTTATTTTTTTAATTCAAAGTGGTTTGCTTTTTCAAATTTTCTTCTAAATTTTTTTGGGTTCTGTTTACATCTTTTTGTATGTCTAATCATACTAGATGTACTATTTTCACCGGAATCAATTTTGAGCAATGTGTCACACCATTTGCATTTGCTATGTTGAACGTTGTTAATCTTAAGTTCATCATAATCGGCCCAACAAGCCGCTCTTTTGACATATTTTTTCTTCTTCTTTATTGTTTGACCTTTTCCGTCTTTGTTGTCAATTTCAGTGTTATCAACCATGTTAGGAGCAGTGTGTTGCATCATAGGCTCGTTTCACAACCCTATTTTGTATCTGGTATGGGCATGTCCATCCGTGATTTGTTTGTTAGGGTTTGAGTATTAATAGATGCTTGCATGCATCTTTTTATATAGTTTTTGAAGTAGATTTCACGTCTTGTTTTAGAAGATATCTTTTGTAACCCTAGAATCCTCTACAGTGGAAGTTCTTAATCAAGCTCTGCTGAGGATTAAGTAATCTAATCATTCGACTCATTCAGATCCATACTTGTGTTTTATCTCATTGTTTTTACGTTTATTATTTACCCGTTACAAAGATCTAATCGATCAAAGAGTTTTTATAACTCATCAATTGGTATCAGAGCAGGAGGCTGTGTAATTCATACACATCACTTCTGTGAAAGAAGTTATTAGGGTTTATTCCGCACTAACTGATATTTATTGAGCCGTCACTCCATAATTGACGTATCTCATTACTTATTCGTTTTTCGCTAATATTATATATTACAAGTCTGATCTTTCAAACAGGTTAAATGATCAAGCATTGACGATTCTTGTGACAACTGTCAATTCAGGTCATTCTTGGACTCATGCATATTTATAATAACCATTCATGCACAACATGCCATGACCTAGTAGTATAAATTAGGTCAAAAATCTTGCATAAACTAGGATCCAACTAAGGTCTAGGACTAATATACTTGATACTTACAATTCTAGTAAGTTGCTTAGCTACAATAGGAAATGCCAATACTATAATTAGAATAAGCTTCAAACTTTGTTATAATTGAAATAGGGTATAAAACTCTAAAAATAAATTAAAACACTCTAATTATACTTCAACATGTTGTTGAATATCAATCAATGTTCCAAAAACTCTAAACAGCCAAAAATCCAAATTTATAAATCTTAAAGCTTAAAAACTTTATAAAATTTGGCTATAAACTTTCTAATATCAAATTTTATTAATCAAATTATGGATTATACCAATGAAATAGAAATATAAATTACAAGTATTAATCATAATTTATTAGTTAAAAACAAGATTTTTAAATAAATCAAAAATTGCTTAAAGAATCACTTTTATAAAAATTAGATTTTTATAAAAATTAGATTTTTATAAAAATTAAGGAGGGATTTTTTATAAAAATTTGAATTTAGGAGAGAGGAGGCTTTAATGCCTCAAAAATCTGGCCATCTCCCCTCTCCCCATGCACTCTCTTCCCAAAACTCATGATTAAACTCAAACCCACACTCCACCTCTTCTCTCTTCACTCTTCTCACTTCACTCTCTTCACACACTTCACCCTCTTCCTCTCTCTCTCTAAACTCACGAAATTTCTCTCATTTCTCTGCCAAATTTCAAGACTTTGAAGACCTTGAAGTGTTCTTACTTCTCTCAAGATCATAACCAAGGTAAACAACATCATCTTCTTCCATAGTTTGATGATTCTACTTCTTTTCCTTCTTAGTTTTCTCTTCTTTTAGGATTCTATGCCTTTCCATGGCTAGAAATCTTTATTCTCCCCTTGTGGTTTGTAGATTCTCACCATAACACAATGCATGTGTTTGAAATGGTGAAAATCCGGGATCAAACCCATGCAAGGAGTGAAAAAGATGCACATATGATCATGTGACATCAAAACATAATATTTCATGTTCTTCTCCATTTCTTGTGTGTTCATGCATGAACGAAAGCATTAAACCATTTCTAGTACATCTTGGATGCTCATTCATTCCATGCATGTGTTAGAAATCGGGCCTTACCAAGGACATGCATGATGTTCTTATTGAAATACCCTAAAAATGCACACAAGCAAACATGCAATCTGCCAGATTATTTTGTTCGACTTTGAACAGTCATAACTCAGTCATTTTTTAACCAAATCATGATATTCTTTTTGTATTGGTTATTTCCACGAGTTAACTTTCAAACCCAACTGGTCTTACTGTAAAATATTAAATATCCGATTTTTGGCAGATTTTACAAAAAGGTTGCGCATACAGCTCTTTTTCTGTGATCACTATTTTTATCTTGCTTAAACAATGGTCTTAAACCCAACCATAAATCTTAGGAAAAATACCTTAGAAACTTAACATATCTAGTGAGTTATGGTTGAAATTTCGTGGCTTAAAACCTCACTGAATGGGCTACAAAAATTCATGAACCTCAGCCACATCTACACTTCATGCATTATTGCATGCAACTTTTCTTAAATTGTTTGGAATCATTACCCTCATTTCTCTTCTGAATACATTCTTAACATTTTTACTTTTGAAAGCCCTTGCATGCATGAGATAATCTGGAAAATTTCAAGAGCTTTTGTTATTTATTTGATTTATTAGAATTATTGCTAAAACCAAGGGCATAAATCATATAAAATACTTCCAGAGGTCAATAAATCCTAAATAAATTCATGGATGATACTTATGGGGAATAATGACCCCTCACCAAATTTCAGCAATTTTTGTTACTGTTTCATATGATTTCTAATTTTCTTTTATTTAGGACATGATAAATTACAAAACCACTTTTTAGGATGTGAAAATTTTATCTAACAATTTTCGCATACCTTACTTGTGATGGGTGACTCAAGAAAATAATTTCAAGATTTTTCATCATGTCTAGCTATTTTTCCCAATTTTTGGTAATTATAATGGCTTAAAAATGGGAAAAATAGTTCTGATTATCCAAAATTCATGAAAATTTGCCAGGATATCATATTATATAGTAGGAGGTGACATAAAAATTTTGAATATTTTTCTCCACTGTAAACTATTTTTCCCTTATTTTCTAAAGTTAATTGCACTAAAATTCACTTAAATATACATAAATACCCAAAACCAGTTTATACATTATGAAAACCACTTTTGATATTTTTCCCAAGATATTTATACTGTAAATGATGTTACAAGAATTTATGGTAATTTATTTTAACTGTTTAATAATATTTCTTTAATTAATGACTATTTAAAGAAATAAAACAAGGAAAAATACAAATAACCACTGAAAAATATATTTTATATTTTTCCCAGCCTATTTATGTATAATAACAATTAAATAAAAAGTTTGGGTAATTTTGGAAACTGTTTACTATTTATTTCAATTTTTATTGAAATAAATGCTCAAAAATTATAAAATATAATTAAACAGCTTGGAAATCCATTTTTATAATTTTCCCAGCTTAGTGTTGTGTATTAACAGTTAAATAAAAAGTTTGAGAATTTTTATCCCTCGAATACTATTTTTCGTGAATTTATGTTGTTATTGAGACTTAAAATTTGGAAAATTAACCTTCCAAGGTTGTAATTAATCGCACGACTTGTAAAATTTCAATACATCAGAAAAAGTGTAACAAAATGATATAAATCCAATACTAAAACATAAATTGGCATTTCCCTATATGTAGAGTTTAGTATATTAGCATTAGATATCGACATGGAAACTCACTAGTGCGTGTGTTTGGTGTCGTAGGATCCCGGTAGTAAGACGTTGGTGCATCCCGAAGTACCGCTTGTGTCTACACAAAACATCGTGAGTATTCACCAATCCCCTATTTTATGTTTTTAAATGTTTTGGGGTGGAAAAGCATGTCCTAAACTATTTATATCCGTTGTATTTATCTAACTCGTATAAACTTGGTTGCTATATTTAGCATACCGTGAGTATTCACGCACTCCCCTATTTTCAGTTTTATGTTTTGGGGTGGAAAAGCATGTCCAGAAAAACTATTGTTTGCATGTTGTACTTAAATTGAATTGTATCAAACATGATTGCTATTGTATTGCTATGTTTCTTTATGTATGTCTATGCAACACGGAACATGAGAACTTATCGTACAAAGGCCCTTCCCTTATCTCTAACCATTAACTCTTTGAGCCAATGGTCGTTATGGATAGCGCTATTAGGAATTGACAACTCCTCACTCGCCCGAATCGCTGGAGTGCATGATACCATATTCATCTATGGAACGATAAGCATAGATCTCGATAGGGCTTCAGTCATAGGTTTGGTTGAGACTCATTGTTTGCTCATACACATACAAACTCGTTTCTCGTTATAGCAATAAACTTGTATTCATTAATAGCAATCAACTTGTTTATCATTGAAGCAATGTACTTGTATTTACGAAAAGCCTTATTGTACGCTCGATTTTATAAACTTGTGATACTCACCAACTATTTTCATAGTTGACGCTCGTTTTACATGCTTTTTCAGGAAATAATTAGTAAGTGGATGTAAAGATTCATCATCATAGAGCATGCTGCATCGTGTTGAAGCTATTATGAAGCTATATTTTGAACAATGTTATTTTGAAAAACTTGTATTTTGTTCTTTTGAAGCTATGGGTTGTAAACTTTTAAATACTGCTATGGTGATGTATCTTTATCTTTTGCAATGAAACCGTTATCGCTGTCATACCTTGCGTTTCCGCTTTAGCGGGGTGTGACAATTCTCAATCTAATCCTATCAACATCTCAAACAGTATTGGATCAACAACAAAGATTCCTATTCATTATGCTCAAAATTACGAAGTTTGGGCGCATCACTTTGAAGACTACGTCATCGGATCTTAAGACAATGGGTATCTTATATGGGAAGCTATTGTGTCAGGACCATTCGCTCACTCAGGAACATCTAGAATCATTAAAACTCAGAGAGAGTGTAATGATCTGTTAAAAGATGTTAAAGATGTTGCTCAAGAAGAAAAGGAAAAGTTTCAGTGAAACATTAAAGCATTGAGACTGATCCGATTTGCTCTTCAATCTGATACATTTAGGTTGGTGAATTCCTGTAGTACCGCTAAAGAAATCTGGGATAGGCTGCAAGAGCTATATTCCACAGATGAAGATTTGGAGCATTCTATTCAGACCTTGCTTTTATCTGAGTTTGGTGAATTTAAGCATAATTCTGATGAAACTGTTACTCAGACGTTCAATCGCTTCAATCATCTTCTTAGCAAGATGATCAAACATGATATAGAAAGGAAGTTGATTGAACAGAAAGTCACCTTTTTGAATGGCCT